CTCCGCGAGCACGTGACCCCGCCGAGCGGGGAGGCGGTGACCGCGGGCCCGCCCCCCCCTCCCAGTTCGTGGCGGGCGTCACGTGGCAGGGCGCGGGGAGGGCTCCCGCACGCTCCGCCCCCTGGCGGCGTGGGCGGGGCCAGAGGAACTACCTCCCCCCCGCGATCTCAGGGGCGGTTAAAGTCCGTTGAAAAGAGCTCTCCTTCGCAAGCGATTGCGTATTTAAATGTAAATATTGCACTCCGGCAAGACAAACCTCCCTTTTTTCTTTTTTTTTTTTCGTCAAGTCGACATTTCTGCTACATTTCGAGGGCTGACGCGGGACGTGAGGATGAACTGACGCACGACAGGGCACGAAGCCGTCAGCGGCCTACGGACGGGTCCGAGCAGGGACACTCCGGCCTGGGCACTGCCCACTCGGGCCCGCGGCACCAGAATTCAGTTTTTCTGCATAATTGCTTCAGACGTCTTTCCCCTGCTCCCCAGAACACCCCCAGAGCCCTCCCTGGCCCTCCCAAGCCAGCCCTTGCCTCACCTCACAGCTCCTAAAACCGCCTCACGGCTCCTAGAACCACCCTTGCTCTTTTCTGCAACTTAACTGCTTTGGTTTACAATTCAGGTTTTCGTCTCGGCGGACCGTCGTGGTGCTGGTTTTCAACCTAAAACAGCCGAGCAGAGCGCAGCGTTCAGAACTCCCGACTGACCCGGGGAAAACGCAAGTCGCCTCACCAGAGATCCCAGGCGGACAGTTCCGTTACACCAGCGATGCTACCAAAACTTCCAAAATCAGCTTTGAAAAATCACTTCCAAAATAGGCTGTTTCTGAAAAACCTACAACTATACTATATAAATGTTTTGAAACAAAACCTACTTCTTCCACATACACCGATTATGAAACATACTGGAACATAGTTCTACTTTGGGTTCATATTTTTAAAAGTAATATTTTATTTTTGTTTGAAATCCGCAAGTCAAGTACAGCACAATGGTGAAAAAAAAAAACAACCAACCAAAAAACCCCCACAAAACCAACCCCCCTTTTTTGTTTTGCGCAAGTGTAACAAACTCCAGAATCTAAGTCTTTAAAAAAAAAATAAAAAAATCTGCACTACTATGATTGCAGAGACCCTTCATACAAAAATGCCATAAAAAGAGACAATAATAGTTTTAAGTCTAGAGCCAAACAGTTCAGCACTATTTTAACTGGCAGTTAAATCTTCAGATTGTTCTGGCACTGAAATACAACCAACAACAAAACATGGTCAAATTGGGGTGGAAGCCCAAACTACCAGAAAATTAAATGCACGTATAACTTCCCTCCTTTATACAGGCAGGGAAGGCACAGGCAGCTCCTTTGAGAAAGGAACACTGTACTGCAAATAACAGAAAGGAACAGGAAATAATAAAAATACCCTGTTCCTATCAGGTTTCAATGATGTTTCTAAAATTCTGCCAGTGACATTTTTGATATACCAAATCTCAAAAGTCAAACTTAAATTCTGGTATTATGTTTTGTATTATCCCCCCTGCCTTCTCTTACACATCTCAATTAACAAAATTAGGCTGCAAAGATCTACCTCAGACACCACTGATGTCTCACTGTCTGGTTAAAAGCAGAGCTTGGATAAATGTAACTTCATAAAGCACATTAAACCCATGGGGATAAGGTATGTTGAATCGTTTCTTTATAAATCAAATCCATTTGATAGCAAAAGTCTTATTTATTAAGGACTCCTCCCTAAAAAAAAAATAAATCCATCAATCCACAAGAGACTGTATAATGCAGTTTCATTGAGGGCACCCAAAAACCTGTTTCTGACTGACAGATGTTTGATTAATAAAGACCTGGACTAGAAGATCAGGTTGTCTCTCCCTTCTTCTGCTCTCCCATCAGTTCGGGTTTTTCCTTGAAATGTGATGCCTTTTCCCGAGGCTATTTTTCTACTAGACTGCATCAATTGCTTCCCTTCAATTAGCAATGGCAGCTTTACTTGTAATTGGAAGGATTAAAACTGAGGCTGTTCAGAGCTACACAGGTCTCATGTAACTGCTTAGTAAATATAACAATTTCTACTTAGCAGGTTTAAAAAAAAAAAATCTTTTGTACTTGACCTAGAGCTTTGGCAGGCAGTAATTAAAGAAATACCTTTCCCGTTGAAAAAAATTTGAATCGAAGCATCCAGTAAGAAATCAGGATGTGATCTAGTGAAAGATGAACTGGTAAGGCTCTTGATGGGCTGGTGGGTTTTACTCTGTAAAATAAGAATATGTAGAGAGAAATTAAACAGAAAGGGCAATTAAAAAAAAACAAAAATATTGTATTTTAAATTAAACTTTTTTTTTAAAATCTGAGTACAGAGGGACTTACGGTTAGTCTCGGACTTAATCAACATTTGGCAACACCAGACATCCAATGAAAGCCGTAAGCCATCTCTTTGAATCTCCTTTCATGTGTTCTCCACTCATAAGCCAACAGCGGACCAGAAATTAAATTAAGGTTTCCTTAGTATCATCTAATTATGTTACCTTATCCTAGCGCCTGCTGACAGAACCTAACACAAGCATGCCCTTTTGTCTTTGTGAATGGACCCAATCTGTCTGCCTGTACACGCCAAACAAACAGATGTACCAAGAGACCAAGCCCCTGAAGTTGACTAGCTTTGTTAGACAACTACTAAGAACTAAACTTCTCTTTTCTTGGCAGAGACAACTTAATGGGGAGAAGTAACATGCTTCCATGAAGCACTGCACTTCTGACAAAACCATCTACACACAAACGCCAGCGGCATTAAAGAAATGAACATACAAGATGCTCTCAACAGGATGGCAAAGGTAGATGAGCCTTGATCCCCATCCTCTCCCTTCTGAACAACCGCCTGTTCCTCATCACAGTCCTCCTTCATATCCACGCTGCTGCTGCCGCTGAGCTCATCGCCAACCGAACTAAACCCTATATACTCTTCGTAGCACGGGATCTCCACCCAGATGGGCTCCACACCCCTCCTGCAGCCATCACCCTGCAACGAAGAGGTCACTGACAGCAACCTTACCACCACGCCTGCTTCAATCATCACTCACGGCTTGCTGGAACTGTTGAGATGGCCTGAAACCCTGCGCTATAGAAAGTCCTATATTCCAAAGGACTTCCACGCACATGCTTAACTACTGTATCACTTACACTTGGATTTGCAGTAAGCACGAACTTAGCAACTACTGTTTAATAATTTGTTAACTTTTCCCATTAAATGGTACATTCACTCAAGACGACTTAAACAATTTTCTGGTAATTTTATTTACAGTCTGCAGAGTGTTCTGTAAAACACAGTAATGCTTACAGACTAAAACATACAACATACATATTTTCAAACATTTAAATAAGCACAGTTTATTCAAAAGTAATTCTACACACTACTTTTTCCATAAAAATATAAAAAATAGTTTAGTTACTATATTTTACCTAAACCAAGATATTTAAGAATTCTTCCACATGTGCTGCTCCCTCCCTCAAAAAGGGCACTCCAACAATATGAAATTCAGGAGACCGCATCAAAAATTAAAATGCTAATGCCAACTGCTTCAATCCACCAAAAGCACAAATAATGTTCAATTTGCAACCAGCAATATTTGTTCTGCAGTACATTTGGATTTTGCCTTTGTTGTTTTTTGGGGTTTTTTTTTTTTTGCACTAACTTGCTGCTTCTCCCATGCCAGATTTTCACAGACACGTACACACTATTACATAAAAATAATGGACTGATTATACTGCAGACTATAATGCCAGTCATCATGTGCCCAACAACATGGATTGGTAATCTTGCATTACACAACAATTTTTTGCAAAAATATCAAAAGGTAAACACTCTCCTTTAGGACCTTGATTTAAAGGCGACTCCTTTTCTTACTGAACATCCAGTGAAAATAGCCTTTTTCCCATGTCCTTGAAAATAGCGCCCATTTTTGTTTGTTACTACTATTTGTCTGGTTTTACTGACCATGTTCTGTATGGAAAGCTAATGGAGTTCTGAAAAACATCCACTCGAGCCCTTCTCTCACTAGGATACATTTAATTTACAAAAAAAGGCACAAAGATGAAACTCCTAAGCAGCATCAGTCATAATTCTTCCCCTGTGCACTGCTCCTCTTTCTTACACAGACACTGCTGCAAGAGACATTTCTGTGTCTCAGAAAATGCTACAAATACATG